CATGATTCGGTGACCACCACCCCTACTGCCATGGAGTCCAAGCAAAAGACGAAACCACTGACACAGCAACCCAAGACTAGGTGAGCTACACTAGAGAAGGTGACTGGACCGCCAGAAAGGTCGTCTCCACGAAGGCACCAGAACTGCAGCTGAAAGGAGGCTCCGCGATTGAAATTGAAGGAAGAAGGGTTTGCTACAATAATTGCAGATTGAGGGAGAGCGGCGCGATTGAAATTATTTTATTTGTCATCTAATTGATTATTCTCATTTTGTAAAAGTATTTTTATATTTAATTTTTGTTCAATTTTTCTTAATGTATCTGACGGTTCATTATTTAGTGATTTTTCTTTTCAAAAACATTTTTAAAATGTCACAATATGTTAACTTCATTATGTTAGTTTTTATTTTTTTCAATTCAAAAGTGAGGCCGACCACCAATCCATGCGTTTCGATCTCCACAGCCATAGGGCAACTTCATCGAAATTTAGATAAATAAAATAAAAAATAAAAAGCACCTAAACATTAATTTCCCCCAAATTCACCAAAGCCAATCGCGATCCCTGATGGAGAGCTCGGCCACAGAACCCCCACCCCATCTACGCCATCGTCATCGGCATCTTCCTCGAGAAGGTCGGCAACCGCGTCGACATCCTCACTTTCTCTAACAACCGTCGCCGCTGCCTCCATCACTTTCTCTAACAACCGCGTCGAGTCGATCGGTCCCAAATTACATCAGCATCTAACATCTCTTTGTCAAAGGGGTCTACTATTGAACTGCAAAGTAAACATCTCATCCCCAAAGACGTACAACCACACTTATCACCTTGCATGCGAAGAAGTCTCTCTTTTTACCAACATGTGTCTTGTGAGACTCTCAAGATACCATTTATTATTATTTTTTTTTTTAATAAACCACCCAGAAGGGTGGGAGTTAGGCCAGACCCCCAACCTGTATATATAAAGGCCCTAAGTGGGCTGAAAAGTCTAGATCTACAATTCCAATATCTGAAATAGAACAAGTCAAACGAAAAGGAAAACTAGAAACGAAAGAGACAACAAGAAAAAGCTGGCAATAGCTTCCAGTAACACAACGATAATGTCTCCTGGTCCGGGGAGAGTCCAGGCAAAAAGTCAGTGTCACGGGAGGGCAGGTGCACCAAGAGGTTGGACCGGCTACACAAATCTGAATGAAAGAAATGCCATCTGGTCCAGCCGTATAAGGGTGCGGAGGCAAAGAAGAATATCGTCAGGAAAAAGTATGCGCCTCTGGGGGGGTGGAGGACCCGATGCTTGCGAAGAAGTCAGCAGGGCAGTCCCACTCACGGAAGATGTGCGAGATCTGAAAGTGAATTGACCGAAGTGTGGCTCTAATAGGCATGAGCGGATGCTGAATCTGCCATGTGCCCTGATGGTCAGTGGTCAAGAGAGTGATGGCAGCGGCGGCGTCCAATTCTATCCAAATGTGAGAGGAGATCGAGGTAGCAATCTGAAGATCTGAAGCGCCTGAATCTCCGCGTCGAGCTCGAGGAAGGCCCGAAAAGGGGCATGGAAAGCGGTAATAAGCACCACTATGGTCCCTAATCAGACCCCCGCCTCCGGCGACTCCAGTAAGTCAGTCAAATGATCCATCAGTGTTTAACTTAACCCAAGGAGGCTCAGGTCTCAGCCAAACAACAGCTCTGGGCCGTGGATGCTGGCCAGGCGGCAGTAGAGGTGGTGCAAGGCGGTGAGGAGACGTGCAACCTGTCCAGTCTCTCTGGGTGAGTCTGCCCAAAGCAGTGAGGAGAGAGAGATGTCGGTCAACCTGCAAAATAATATGGGAACACAAAAAAGAGTTATCTCTATGCTTCCCATTATTCTTTTCTGTCTAGGTGGCCCAAAGGATCAGACAATGAATAAGGAAACCCACGTGTCTATCGTGTGTGCTGTGTCTGAAAAAATTCAGAAGCTCAAAGAAATTATATGTGGAGGGTAGGAATATATGAGTGAAACTGGTATAATGCTCGTGACTCTCAAGATACCATGACTCACCGTAATGTCGTGATGATTTTTACTTTTTTGCTTGCTATAAATTGTAAACACTCAAATGAAAGACACAAGAAATATACTCGTTTACAATACAAGAGCATTCACTGTTGCAATAAATATATTTTGTCAGTTTCTTTATCAAACTCCTCACAATTTTGTCTATACTAAAACGTTGGCCGATTTAGTTTTTCCTTAACATGCGCCCTGTACTCGTGTTAATATTTATTGATCCATCGTGAACAGAAGATAAAAATGAAAAAGTAAAAAGGAAAAACGAAATTTGTCGAGGCATTGGTTCGTTCAATAACAGGAAAAAAGAAACCCCTTTATTCATGTGATAATTGATCTAAATATAATCATAACAGCTTATGATATTTGATGTATAAAAGTGGGGACAACGCCCGTAACTCAAACATGTGCTGTCCGGCTGATCTGCACTGGTAACATGTAACCATAGTCATCATGGTTATTCATAGGTTATAGTTTAAATTTGGTTTTACGCAATACAGTAATATGTTTTGATGTCTAATCATTGCAATATATATGTGCTGCGGACATGTTTTGTCCACTGATATTAACCGGTATTAAATAAACAATTAGGGACCGTAATCATTATTACAACAAGTGTATTGATCTTGAGTTTTCGTTGATCTAAGACATATCTATAGATGTGATCTTATGAGAATAAAAGATAGTAAAAAAAATAAGAATAAATCTAGATAATTAGATTAATCAAGTTAATGGTCTTAATTTAAGTCAAACTTTAAATATGACAGTTAAACATGAGTGGCATTCTAGTAAATAATTGTATACTACAATTATTTACTAGATTGTCACTCATAATTATGGTCAAATATAAACATTTGACCACTCACTAGGGATAAATTAGACATTACACATAATCAGTGGACTCTACCACTACACCCACTAACTTATCCCTCTCTCTCACACACAAACACACACAACACACACCTACACACACCAAACACCTTAAGACACACTCACGCATAAGCTCAACGGAGCTGCAGTCGGACGTCAATCGTGCCGCTGCCGCAAGCATTGCTGGTCACGTCGCTGTCGACACCAGCCCGCTGCCATCAATGTGGAGAAGTCTCCGATTCCGGCACTGTACGTGGCCTGTGTAGTCGTCCTCGCCTGACGCTGTGTGGTCCTCGGCGGTTGTGTGGTCTTCGACGCTCGACGGTAATTTGTAGGACTTTACGGGCCGCTGCAATGGCGGAGGTGGCATATCTCGTCAAGGTGTTCGTCGTTGCGTAGATGGTGGAGCTGGGCAGAGGGACCTTAATGGATTGAGCGGTGTGTGTATGGAGGGCAGCAATGACGATAGAAGAACGGCTTAGGCCAGGAGCCCAAATGTGTGTTGCTATGTGTGCCAAGGTCTGCGACTATGGTGGAGCAGGGGGCTCTGGCGGCGATCGTGGTGCGAGGATGATTCGGTGGCTATGACAGTCCCTGTGCGGTGGAGACGGTGGCAGGAATCGGGCGCCGGAAGTGATTGTGTTATTGAGGGTTTGAGGGGCTTATTTTTAAAAATTTGATAAGGCTCAAGGACTTATATACAAATAAAAAAAGTTAACTATATTTCAATTGAGTACATGAGTTAAATTTATAATTTATTAAACTTTAATAATGCATCATATTAATAAGTAAATTGCACATTATGGGGTGTACATATGCACATTATAACACTATTATCTTTTTATATAAAATTATTAAAATCTTAATAATTGCACAATACTGATAAATAAACTTCACAATAGTGTGTGTACACATGCACTTTAAAAATTCATGTGAAGTTTAAACATATGATTATATATTTCGTTCGATTTGATTAGTTTAATAAATGAACCCGACATCAAACTGAAATGTCCAAAATTTTAAAGGTACCAAATATATAATCAATTAAAAAATATAAAATTTGTACCAAAAATTTTAGTTCAGTTGGGATTCGACCGATATAGTGTAATCCGTCATTCACTAATATGCAATCCCTCTAACATAAATGTGCACTCAAAGTGCAGTTATCTTTTACTTTTGTTCCAATCCAAACTAATTCCAAAATAATTTGTTTATTTTATTGATTATCCGATATAACCTAAATAATCAAAATAATTTATAATTTGTATTATAAAATATAATTAGTTTTCTAATGTTTTTAGTTAATATTTTATATTATTTTTATTGTAACTACCTACATTATATATATATGGTCGCGCTCCAGTGAGAATTGTGCTCAATGAAAGAAGTAAGAATAAATTTCAATCATTGGATCGGATGATCCAACAACTAAAAATAAAAAATAAAAAAAATTAAACACATTAAAGATAATGTGGTAATTTTCCTACCCAACACAGCCGTGGGCCTTTTTTAAAAAGAGGGACGCTCGGGCCGCTAGGGCCAAGTGTCATGGCTTGCAGCAGCCGAAAAAGAACTCACCCTTGCTTTAGCTCCCCTAAATACCAAGAATAGGGAATGAATCGAAATGAGACAAAATAAAACGAAATGCGTCGAAATGAGGCCCCACTCTCTCTCATGCACAACACACACACACTCCCTCTCTCTCTCTCTCTCTCTCTCTCTCTTCACACACACAACACTGTTTTCTTTCGTAGTTGATGGGGTTAGATCTAGAATACTAAGCTGGAAAAACAAATTTCTTTCCCCTGCTGGTAGAGAAATCTAATCAAATTAGTCCTTAGTGCTTTACCAGTTTTTGTTATGTCTTGTTTCACCCTTCCAACCACATTTTGTGATTAGATTAATAGGTTTATTGCTGATTTTTGGTGGAGCAAAGGTAACAATAACAAGAAATGTTTGAACTGAAAAAAAAATGGGAACTTATCTCTTTGCCACTAGAACATTGAGGCCTTGGTTTCTCTGATCTAAAGAACTTTAATGAAGCACTTATCTTCAAGCACCTTTGGAGAGTCCATACCAAACCCAACCTTCTTATGAGCAGAATTCTCCAGAGCAAGTACTTCCCCAGCAGCTCAATCTATGAAGCAAAATCATCCCCTTGCAGCTCATGTCTCTGGAGAAGATGGATGAAAGCTTGCCCCTCTTTTCAGCAAGGTCTTAAAATGAAGATTGGTGATAGGAAGACTACCAATATCTGGGAGCACCTTTGGGATCACTCAGTCTCAAGCCTCAAATGGCTGAAAATTGATTTTTGTCCTCCAAACCTCACATGGGTCTCTCAGCTTATGGATTCTAATGGCAGCAGATGGAATGAGGAGTTAATTATAAACACTTTCACCCCCATTAAATGTGAAGATCCTTGGCATTGTCTCTATTGACAACAATATGAAGGACAAGTTTACTTGGGGTTTGGATAAAAAATGAATGTTCTCAGTCTCTTCTTCTTACTCTAGTCTCACTAACTCAAAGGTAAGAACCCTGGACATCTCTTAAACAAGCTCTCACTTTTCCTGGATCAACAAAGTTAGGAACTTCAACTGGAAGCCGAAAAATAAAAGAAAACTATGTTTGTTTATAAATTTTTTTTGTTTTGTTTGGATTTTTTGATTTGGTTTGGTTAATTTTAAAAAATGTGGTATGGTTAGTTGTTAGTAGGTATATTAAAATAATATTTAAAATAAAATAATTAAAATTTATTTGATGTAAAAGTAGGAGAGAGAGATTTATAGTGATAGTTAGTTAAAATAATATTAGTGAATGAATAGTGAATTAAGGTTGATGTGGTGTGTATGAATGATTGATTGATATTATTTAATTATATTGATAATTTTGATGATAAAAGGGTTGAGTTAAAGTTGAGTTAAAAAAAGTGGTTGAGTTATAATGTTGGAAATTTTTTGAAAAATTCCATAAACAAACATGTCTTAAAACACTTCATCTTAAAATGTTTCAATAATACCTCTCAGTCAGTTTTAACTTGGCAAACAGAGGCATTGTGTTGGACACAACATGTTTCTACTATGGGGATGCTGATGAATCCATTGAACACCACTTCTTCCATTTTGTCAAAGCCCAGACCATCTGGAAATTAGCACCTCTGAGCTGGAATGGCATTAACTCAGGCAACACAAGTTTTAAATACTGGTGGAAAAATATATGTCTATCTCTTGGACAAGAAACAACTGACAGGATAGAGCTTACCACTTATATCCTATGGTCTTTGTGGAAGTCCCTGAGCTTATGGACCTTTCAAAGACTAGGATGCCAAAGAAAAAGGTCATCAAATTTGATCTGTTGGAGCGGCAGTAATTTACCTCCTCTTTACTTCCTTAGTTTCTAGTTTTTGATTGGTAATTTGCTCGGTTTTAGCTTTGTTTGTTCTGTTTTCTTTTCTTGGTTTGCTTGTTGTGTTTAAGCTAGTTGTCCCTTAGCTTCTTCTTATGTCTTTCTCCCTATTGTTTCCTTCAGTCCCTTCCTAGAAGAATCTTTGATCAATGGCTGGTTTTTCTTTTTGGTAGCAGCTTTGATAAGTCTGCTAAAAGCCTCAGTAAACCTTTTAGCTTTCTTATCTTTAATTTTTTTTTTTTTTTTTGTNCTATCCAATGGAGCTCCATGTTGTTGTTGGCTTGACTCGTTAGCCTCCCGAACTTTGTACAATTTTTTTTCAGTTATAAAATTTATCTTTTCGAAAAAAAGAAAGAACACCTCGATCCGGTCCAATATCGTTTGAACCGTAATTCAAATTGCTTCAATTACCAGCAAAATAGCATCGGAGGTATCTAGACGTAGAGCCTCCGACGCTCAAGTCAGTTTCGGAAATAATGATGTATAGTAATTAGTAGCTTGGATTGTTTAGAGAGAGAAGAAGTATCTTAGTCATATTTCACCCCTTATATAGGTTGTTATCGTGTTGGTCAAGTACCTTAACGCTTGTTGACCCCAAACCTTATCTCTTGTTGCATGATTTGTTATTATCTGACTGTGTCACACTATCCGTATCAGATTGCATTCACACTATTGTGTTCACACTATTCATATATGATTGTATTTACACACGATTCTCCTTTCTTCCTTAGGTCTTTTCCCATGTAAGTCCTCATGCTGAGTTCCCCAGGTCTTCTAAGTCATCATATCACATGTAACCGAGTTGTCTTCAATTCTCAGCTCGACCGTTTACATCCATAAGCCAGCTCTTGATGAACGACCTACGCCTGACCATGTTTACTAGCACTGTCATCTCTGGTTTGCTTAATCCGTTAAGCAACCTCACTATGTCAAAAATATGTCTTTTTGGTCATTATTCAAGCACTCTGAATCTAGGTCGAGTGTCTATTTGATTATTCCAGAGTCCTAACTCGACTTGTTGCTGCTTCATTCACACAACTTGGTTCTGAGTTGTCCGAACCACAATGTATCGTACTGCCCTGGCCTAACCGAGTTATGAGTAGTGTCGGTCAACCTAGTTGCCTTCGAGCTATTTGAGCTCTGGTGACTGGTCAGAATCTGGGCTTTAACCATGGGAGGTAGGTGTCGAAGTGATTCGAAGGAACAAGTAAAGTGTCATGCCAATGTGGTTGAAGGGTGTATAGTGTTAATTGTGTTACACGTAGGCACTAATGCATATAGATCGATTATCTCTAATTCAGATCGGCAGAAAATAGACATAACAATACCAGTACTACATTTCTCATACTATCAGACATTGAGAACATTACAACACATAATCTGTTAGATAGCCATAGAAACAAATCAACGTAAGTGACCACTCACGACAAATCAATCCACAAATCCCTCAATATCTTCAATTTGATTGCAACACGACACCGTTGGATGTGATGACCATTTAACCATACTTCTTAAGGGAAAAAAGGTCTACTCAAATTCAGAAAAGATTGATTGATTCGGAATTTAATGCACTAGCTCAATTGCGTACAGAATAGCAGTA